AACATCTTCTACCTTACAGTTTGAAATTCTCATAGATATTAATAAACTTTAATAATGGATCTMAAACTCTATGTTAGTAGAATATAAATTATTTCCTTGATTTACATCTATTTTGCGTGACAAGGAAAAGTAACGCCAGTTTAACGGCACACCCTTGTTGTCAGCGGTCTTGTCCATGGGAAGCGTCTTTTCAGGGACAATCAGCCTTCTTGTATGAATTCTGTCAAATATTTTAGCCATTTTTATGCATTTTTAAGCCGCCATTCTGCGAATTTGCACTTTATACGCAATTCACCTCCATCACTGAGTAGAATATCAAAGGATTTTCATTTAATTCGTTGTCTTTCGACCTCGTTTCGAGCAATGGCAAGCGATTCCACAGAGCCAAAGTTTACCAACCGACTTGCCAAAGAGAAGTCACCTTATTTATTGCAGCATAAACACAACCCTGTAGATTGGTGAGTAAAATACAAAATACATAATTTATCGCTACTTTATTCATGTGTCATGGCGAAGACATGATACTGTATATCAGTGGTGCTTGATGTCATGCACCGTGCAATCATTTTACATCGATCGTTACATCACAGCTGGACATTTGCTCAGGTCAGTAGTTTGGTAATGAAATCCAAGAATTTTATACAAACTGCCTTTTCAACGTGCCTTGTCAATGTGAAGCACACTTTTATCAAGCGACCCACTTATTCTCATTGTTTTAAAACTATTATTTTTTAAACTATTATTTTTTACTACATAGGTATCCATGGGGTGAGGAGGCATTTGAAAAGGCAAGGAAAGAGCAAAAGCCAATCTTTCTATCAGGTTAGAAGGGAAAGTTCTCTCATGAACTATAAATGTGTATTTTCTTCTTTTCTTCTTCTTTTTTTTTCTTCTTTTTTTGTTTGTTTGTTTGTTTGGGTGAAGAGAGGGGGAGTGTCTTTCTGGAAACAAAAATTACTGCATAGAAACAGGTATCTAGGGGGTCTCAAGTTTGTATTATAACACACAAAGCCTCCATCCAAATACAACACCATGACATTATCTTTGTCTAAATACTTGTAGGGAAGGGAGGGGAGGGTTGGATAATAGATAAAGTGATAACACAGGTAACCCAATAGCACTGGTAACCCAAGCCAACCCAAGGTAATATGAAGATGTCAAATGATATCTGAGTATTCCTGAAACAGAGCAGCAATACTACAAGAATGCAAGAGCAATAGACCACATTTTCAGTAGATTCTGGTTGAATCTAGTCATGCATGGAAAACAAAAGGATTGATGTATTGTTGCCCTAGTGACTCACCTATAGTTCTTTTGTGCTTGATTAGTCAGCCAAAATATCAAATGTGGGCTATTGCACAATTTTTTTCTTTAATGTCTTATAAAAACCAACATTCAGGTCTAGTTCTCAATTTAGTTTCTGGTAGCTAGAAAAAAAAAAATCACTGGTTATTGCTTAGTTAGTCGCCCGTTACTTGATAAAATAATTCAGAGATGATTAATARTTTAATAAATTTTCTTGTTAATTCATCTAATAAACCTCAAGGTGCCTTTTGGCAGACCAGCTATCTAGTTTTTCCCCTGAAAGCCATGAACATTGATACATTTATTTCAAAAAACGTTGTCGAGGAGAACAGACAGCTGCAATTGTTGAAGGGAGAATGCATGACCGAATTGGACTGTGGTTACACTGTTTGACATACAAAAAATCCAATTGTTTGGTTAACTTGCGTGAAAATGGAAACTAAATGGAGCCAATGATGACCATAGAATGTTTCACAGTAAAAATCAGTTACTATTCTCCATTATTCCATTAGCAAAACCCATGACTCCTTTCGGTCGTGCAATCTTCGTTTGACAAAATTTGCCATTCGCCATTTTATCTGACAACCTTTTTTGAAATAGGTATGTTCTACACTTTAATAAAACCTTAAACTGGTTTACAAAGTTGTACTTAGCACATGAATTACTTAGTAAGTGGTCATAATTTTTACTTTTTAAGTGATTTGAATTCTAGTTGGCTATTCAACTTGTCACTGGTGCCATGTAATGGAAAGAGAATCCTTTGAAAATGAAGACATTGGAAAACTGTTGAATGAACATTATGTGCCTGTCAAAGTGGACAGAGAAGAGAGACCTGATGTGGATAGGGTGTACATGACCTATATCCAGGTATCCATAGCAACTGTGTCAATAATTGCACAATTATTATATAATTACCAGAAGCTATTAATTGTAACTGACCAAAGATAGCCTCCTCCAAAGGCATCAATATCATGGGCTTCCTGTCTTTTTTGGGATTCAGAAGAGGGAGAATGGGGGCCAAGATAACCTTTACAAAGGAAGCCCAAATGAGGAAAAAAGAGCAATGCCTCGGGAGGAGGCTAGACCAAAGACATACAGCTAATTCAGAAAATGTTGAATACTCTTTAGAGCATACTGCATTCCAAGAGCATTAAGCTACATGTTAACTTGGTTACAAATTGACAATTTTAAGCTTGGTTGCTTTCCATTTAAGTCCCTGATTGTACAAGCTTTGAAACCTTGAAACTCCTTTACAATAGGCAATAAAACTACTAACARTGCACTGCAGTCTTAGAATAGAGCGGATTTCGTTTGAATGGGACACCGTTACCGCACGGTTACCGCAGTTACCGGACCTGGCCTGCACAATTTTGATGAGCCAATGGGGCACTAGAATTTGGTTACAGTACGATTACGGTCACCGTACAGTACCGTCCGTTTCCCACTCATACGAAATCCGCTCTACACTATTTTTAGTATTGAACTTTTTCTGAAATAACAGTTCAGTGTTGCTCCACTTTATTGCACATATTACTCATTAAATAGCCGACTTGCGAATTACGCATCAATAGTCACATACAAAGGAATCAAGACGAGGCGCCGTGCTTTTTTGTGAAAAATCCATTGTCTTTAGCACGGCGCCTCGTCTTGATTCCTTTGTATGTGACTATTGATGCGTAATTCGCAAGTCGGCTATTTAATGTACTGTTTTTATTGTTACTAGGCAATGATGGGAGGGGGAGGCTGGCCAATGAGTATTTGGATGACTCCTGAGTTAAAACCCTTTGTTGGTGGGACATATTTCCCACCTCAAGACATGCATGGAAGACCAGGTTTTGCTACAATACTCAATCATATCGCCAAACAAGTAAGTTTCACATCTAATTTTCTAAAATGTTAGATATGAATAATCTCTCCTTTCATGTTGAAGGTTTGTGCTGAATTACAGCCATGATGGAAATATGATGGAAATATTTTATAGAGCTCAAAGAAAGGACTTGCATAAAATTAAATGCATTCCCTAAAAACCGTATAGTGTTATTGTCATTTTGGAGATTAGAGACTGTGCTAAGCTGTCTTTAGCTTAAGTAGGATTCAACAAAAGATGTGAGATAGATGTTTTTATTCCATTTCAAAATCTTCCAAGCTACTAAACTTAAATTTCTTTTCTTCTTAAAGTGGGAGTCCAACAAAGATAAATTTGCACAACAAAGTACAATCATCATTAATGCCATCCAAGAACATGTCAAYGARTTAGGTCTTGATGCAAAGGRCATGCCCAAAAGTGAAGTGATTGACAAGTTGTTCAAAGGACTGTCGACAAGCTTTGATGAGGAACTTGGAGGGTTTGGTGGAGCTCCAAAGTTTCCTCAGCCTGGTAAGRGACTGTTCACACTATGACACAATTCAATAGTACTGAAAGGAACAAAATATAGGATATTTTATATTATGAAGGAGAAAATTTAAGACTTGACTATTCTTGTATGCTTCTGACTTTGTTTCTGCTTTTGTTGAAACAWATACCATAGAGGATTTCGCCACGTACAACTTAGTAAGTTGTTTTAATTATTAACCTACTTTTGTGGTCATGGTAAAATTTATCTTTTTGCACAACTTATTCTTTAGAAACACTGACACAGCTCGTACTAGTTTACCACTAGTTTCACCATGTTTCAACATGGTGCAAAGAAATAGACCTGTTAGTTGAAATATTAGACAGTAATAGTCTACACAAAGAAAAATAGAAACTTTAAGGCAACTTGCTAAACAAGCAAAAGACCAATCTGAAAAAATTTCTTATTTGCATGTTTTATCTCTAGCAAATTTCAACTTTCTACTGAAGTATTTTTCAAGCAAAAAATCAACTGACGATGGGAAAAGAGCATTGCACATGGTGGTAAAGTCTCTTGAATGTATGGAAAGAGGTGGCATCCATGATCATGTTGGACAGGTTTGTATTTCTAGTGACAGACTGTACAGAAACGGTTGTAAGGACTTCTAAGATTTGTAAATAACATTGTGGACAAAAGTCACTTCCAACAACATAGCTGTTCAGGTTTGGGTTCATTTTAGAATTTTAATTAAAAATACCATAAAATATGTTTGAAAGAGTGATCTAAAACTTGCATGAGATTATGGGAACTTTTGCGAGGAATTTCACCATTGATTGCTCATGAAATTAAGTAMCAATATCTAAAACTTATTCACTAGTGTATTATTAGATTTTCCAACACAAAACATGTAAAATACTAGGACTAACATGATCCTTGTTTTTTCAAATGTGTTCTTCTGTTGTAAACCTTTGTTTCGTCAAACATACCATAAAGATTATTACTTCACTTCAAAGTTCTTTTAACTCTGAATTTATATTAATCCAGTTTGTTTTCTCCTTTTTTCTAGGGTTTTCATCGGTACTCTACTGACAGAAACTGGCATGTTCCTCACTTTGAGAAAATGTTGTATGACCAGGGACAACTTGCTTGTCTATATGCAGATGCCTACCAGGTAAGTAACAAGCTTACAATCAGAGGTAGCCTGCATAGCGAGGCGTTCCCAGCCCTCTCTCGGAGCGGCTAGGAATGCCTGGCTACGCAGGCTAAACCAGAGGATTCATACTTGTATCAGAATGTGGAATCATGCAAAGGCTGGTAAAACTTTAATGTGAATGATTTGTAAAACACTTTGTAAAACAACAAAGTTGTTTGAAACCAAATAATAAAAATTAACAATGAGAAAAAATAGGAAATGTGCAGCAATGCCAATTTTTGTGAGAAAGCACTTGATGGTAGTTGTTGTCCTCACATTTATTATAGACCCTAAAATATCTCCTTAAAAGCCTTTTTTACACTGTCTTTGTAGAAACATCAAAACAGCATCTATTTTGGCTTAGAAAAAGTATGTTTTCTGAAGTATGTTTTTGCGGACATGAAAAAGTATGAGAACTACAACCTACCATCAAGTGCTTTCCCACAAAAATTGGCATTGCTGAACATTATCTATTGACCTATCTTCTGAGTAAACAATACTTGCTACAATGCTCTTTTCTGTACCAACGTTTTTTTGTACCAACCTTTTAATAATTGCTTATCCCTTGGTTCTATTCTTTWTAGATCTCCAAGGATGAGAAGATTGCAGATACACTTAGGGACATTTTGCTCTATGTTATGAGAGACTTGAGCCATAAGGTACACAGTAGTCCCTCTCATTGTTCAAATTAAATCTAATGATTTCCTCCTAGCTGCAACTTTAATGTATTTAAAGTGAAAAAAACAACAACTTATAACGTTTCTAGCTAGGAGGATTCTACTCTGCTGAAGATGCCGATTCACTKCCAACCTATGAAGACAAAGACAAGAAAGAAGGAGCCTTCTGTGTCTGGGAGGAAGAAGAACTCAAGAAGCTTTTAACTGATACTGTTCCTACCAAGTCAGGRGGGACAATCCCATTRTCRACACTTTTTGTCAAGTATTATGGGGTAGAACCTGATGGCAATGTTAAACCTCATCAGGTGGGACATCACAGATTATTGGTTGAGGCAAAGTGTGATATGAAGAATTATTGAATGAGAATGAGTATAATATGAAGTAGTATTGGTTAGCTTGAGTATGATATGAAGAATCATTGGATTACGCTTAGTACCAAAGGTTATGAAGAATTGTTGATTGAGGTTGAGTATGATATGAAGAATTGTTGGTTGGACTTGAGTATGATATGAAGAATCATTGGATTAGGCTGAATATCAATGATATGAAAAATTATTGATTGAAGACGAGTATAATATGAAGAATTATTGGTTTGATTTGTGAGTAATATCAGTAAAGAATATGGTGCAAGACAAGGCTGGTGCTATCCAAACATCCTCAAAAAAATCTCAATATTATACAATAATCAAATCTAATAATAGTGTTTCTGTTGACTTCTGTCATACCAAATTATTCAAAGGCCCACGTGCATCCAAGGTCCTTTGCGCGATTTTCTCACCTACGAAAAGTCGCCATTTTTGATTTTGAACCAATCAGAAAGCACCTTTTAACAAGAGATCATTTGTAAAACAAAAGAAGCGATTTCGAAGGTAAATAGTGTTGTAGTACATGAATTCTTTCTGGTTCTGCCACAGGACCCCCACAAGGAACTGAGAAAGAAAAATRTTCTCATTGTACGACAAACTTTACAAGAGACTGCAGAGAGTTTGGATGTCGAGGAAGAAGAAGCCAAAGAACAACTCAGCAAAGCGAGAGAGATTCTTTATGAAGAAAGAAAAAAACGTCCTCCACCTCACTTAGATGACAAGATGGTCACGTCATGGAATGGTGAGATTATTGCCTCTTTTGTCGCGTGCAGTGTTGCTTGTTTTGGTAACGCATAAGGGAAACTTGCAAAGCCAGCACAACGCATCGCCGCTCAAACTTTTACTCACAGTGTTTGATGCACGTACTTTACAGGCGCATATTNTGTTGTGCAATGGCATTGCAAGTTGTTGCAATGTGTTGCGAAGAGAAGACCTGAGTCCTACTTTGTGTAATGGCACCCTGGTAAAACGCAAAATATATATAGATGTGAAAGGGTTTGAATAATGGTACATTTGAGACAGCTTCTGTTGCACTGTGACATTCTGAGGAAACTTGTTTTGCCATGACATTTCGCAAAAACGCTGCGGTGAGAAATAATCTCCTTCATGGTTCCCTACGCCATCTTGAAAGGTAGCCGTCCCTTTTCATCGAGGCATGACGACTAGTGTTGAGCATGCAATAATAGAAACCTCGCTACGATGCAAAAGCACGGCTATCTTTTAAGATGGCGCAGGAAACCATGAAGGAGACTATTGTACAGTGAGAAATCGATCAGCCTACAATGTATCAAACTATCGAAGTTTTTTTCTAGAGTGCAAACGCTAGAACCATGAACGACACATAAAAATAATGTTAAATTGCATTGAATTACATGCTAATTCCTTAGTGTTTTTTAATTGGCTAATCTACCTAATCTACACTATATTCCGCTATTTATTTAGCATTATTTGATTACCTTTTCACGCTTTTAGTAGTTTTAGTGTATCACTCAATTAGAAGAGCTTCGCATATACTTATATTTGAAAAAGTATATTACCCTCAKTATTGTGCAGAAAAATAGCCAAATACGGAGGCAATTTTTTTTTATAAAAGGTAAATATCAACGTTTTTCTTCAAGGTTTGATGATATCTGGTTTTGCACGAGCKGGCCAGGTTCTTGGAGAAGACGTTTACACCAAACGAGCAGTCAAAGCTGCTGAATTTGTTAGGAATCATTTGTACGATAAAGATACTAAAGAAATACTGCGAAGTTGCTACCGTGAGAATCAAGACCAAGTTTCACAAATGTAAGACGATAGTCAATGTGAAGCGACGCCATTTTGTGCAGCAAAGCATGATGGTGGTTGTAGTCCTCGTACTTCTTTATGTACGCTACAAATTCCTCAGCTGTTTGTACTTTTTCTAAGCAAAAGTAAAAGTAGTTTTACCGTTTCTACTAATAAGATCTAAAGACAGCTCTTA